AGTAGCCTACAGTACTGAATTCTATAATAATGATGATGATGATGACGATGACGACGACAGACTTTATCTACCAAGGCAAATAGGTGGGCGTGGAATGCTGCAAGTACATCAGATGGTTGAAGAAGAAAAAATGGCTTTGGAAGAATATCTGAAGAACAATGACGAAGATGCACTGAAATTAGTATATCAGGAAGGCTTACTGACTACTGGAGAGACCAAACTGGCCTACAAGAAAGACCAAATGAAGAACAGAATAGAGACAAAGCACTACATGGCCAATACACTAAAAAAATAGCTGGGAAAGCAGATAATAATAAGACCTGACAATGGCTAAGAGCAGGAAAATTGAAGAAAGAGACCGAGGGACTAATTCTGGCTGCACAAGACCAAGCCTTAAGGACAAATGCATATAAAGTCAAAATTGAGAAGACAGCAACAGACAGTAAGTGCTGCTTATGCAAAGAAGCTGAAGAAACAGTGGACCACTTGGTAAGCTGTTGCAAGAAGATTGCACAAACTGATTACAAGCAGCGGAATGACAAAGTAGCAACAATGGTGCATTGGAAGATCTGCAAAAAATATCATTTGCCTGTAAGCAAAAACTGGTGGGATAATAAAATAGAGAAAGTCATAGAAAATGATAAAATTAAACTGCTCTGGGACTTCAGAATTCAAACAGACAAGCACCTGCAACATAACACCACAGACTTAACAATTGTCGATAGAAAGACAAAAAAGTCTGGATAGTGGATGTGGCAGTGCCTGGAGACAGCAGAATAGATGAGAAAGAACTGGAGAAGATAACAAAATACAAAGACCTACAAATAGAAATAGAAAGACTGTGGCAAAAGCAAGCAAGGGTAGTACCCATAGTCATAGGCTCCTTGGGTGCAATCCCAAAACAACTGGAGCACCACTTGAACAGCATTGGCATTGACAAATTCGCTATTAGTCAATTGCAAAAGGCGGCCTTACTAGGAACTGCTTCCATCCTGCGACGATAACTGTAATACCATCAAACATCCACATCTGCCTATCCCAGGTCCTGGGTAAGGACTCGATAGGTAGACAAAATGCCAAATCCAGTCTGAACATCTGGCTGACTATGCAATGATCCATAATAATAATAATAATAATAATAAAGTTGGAAGGGACCTTGGAGGTCATCTTGTCCAACCCCCTGCTCAGGCAGGAAACCCTATACCATTTCGAACAAATGGCTGTCCAGTCTCTTCTTAAAAACTTCCAGTGTTGGAGCATTCACCGCTTATGGAGGCAGGTTATTTCACTGGTTAATTGTTCTCACTGTCAGGAAGTTTCTCCTTATTTCTAGATTGGTTCTCTCTTTGGTTAGTTTCCATCCATTGCTTCTTGTCCTGCCTTCTGGTGCTTTGGAAAGTAGCCTGACTCCCTCTTCTTCGGGGCAACCCCTGAGATACTGGAACACTGCTATCATGTCCCCCCTCGTCCTTTTCTTCATTCAACTAGACATACCCAATTCCAGCAACCATTCCTTGTATGTTTTAGCCTCCAATCCCATGATCATCTTTGTTGCTCTTCTCTATGCACTGCACCACCATGGCTTCATCCTTTACCATTCCAGATTTTTATGGGATGAATACACAATCAGAGATAGAATAACAAAGTAACAGAACAGAATAACAGAAGGGACCTCGGAGGTCTTGTAGTCCAACCCCTATTCAGGTACCATTTTCAGACAAATGGCTGTCCAATCTCTTCTTAAAAACCTCCAGTACTGGAGCATCCCACAACTTCTAGAGGCAGGTAGTTCCACTGATTGATTGTTCTCACTGCCAGGAAACCTCTCCTCTGTTCTAGGTTGCTTCTCTCCTTGATTAGTTTCCATCCACTGCTTCTTGTTCGGCCTTCTGATGCTTTGGAAAATAGGTTGACACACACACACGCACACACACACACACACACACACACAACCTCTTTTTTTGAGGCAGCCCCTCCAATATCGGAAGACTGCTGTCAGGTCACCTCTAGTCTTTTTCATTAAACTAGGCCAGGGATAGGCAACCTTGGCCCTTTTATGACTCGTGGACTTCAACTCCCAGAATTCCTGAGCCAGCCATGCTGAGGGGAAAGGGAGGGGTTTCCAAGCGGAGCCATGCTGGCTTAGGAATTCTGGGAGTTGAAGTCCACGAGTCACAAAAGAGCCAAGGTTCCCTCCCCCTGTCCTAGATCAGTAGTAGGCAACCTATTGCCCTCCATCTTTCCCTGCTCTAAATAGTATTCATGGATGCGCTCTGCAAGTCTTCTCCCTGTTTGTTCTACAAAGCGGCTATTACAGTCCTTACCCTGCGTGTTATATATTAGGGGTCCCCCAATCTTTTGGGCACCTGGGACTGCCTTTGTGGAAGACGGTTTTTCCACGGACTGGGGTGAGGAGGAGCGTGCAATCTAGATCCCACGTGTGTGCAGTTTTGCTCGCCTGCCGCTCACCTCCAGCTGTACAGCCCGTTTTCTAACAGGCCATGGACCGGTACTGGTGCATAGCCAAGGGGTTGGGGACCCTTTTGTAGATGTCTCCTGTTTTTTCTTCTGGGATTGCTGGGATAGGATGTTTGGGTGCTACGGTGATGCCACAACTCCTACAACCACGTGCTACAAATGTGGTTGTAGGAATCTGGCCCTTCCTTCCCTCCCTCCCTCCGTCCCTCCCTCTCTCCCCTCTTTCCTTCCTTCCTTCCTTCCTTCCTTCCTTCCTTCCTTCCTTCCTTCCTTCCTTCCCTTCCTTCCTTCCTTCCTTCCATCCCTCCCTCCCTCTCTTCTTCCTTCCCTCCCTCTGTCCCCCTCCTTCCTTCCTTCCTTCCCTCCCTCCCCTCTTTCCTTCCTTCCTTCCCTCCTTCCCTTCCTCTCTCCCCTCCTTCCCTCCCTCTCTCCCCTCTTTCCTTCCTTCCCTCCCTCCCTCTCCTTCTTCCTTCCTTCCTTCCATCCCTCCTTCCCTCCCTCCCTCTCCTCTTTCCTCCCTTCCCTCCCTCTCTCTCTTCTTCCTTCCCTCCCTCCCTCCGTCCCCCCCTCCTTCCTTCCTTCCTTTCCTCCCTCCCTCCCTCCCTCCCTTCCTTCCTCCCTTCCTTCCTTCCTTTCTTCCTGCTGTCTCTTTCTTCTTTCTCCCTCTCTCAGTTGCCTTCTCAAACACAGTGCCCAAATTAGCCCATTTTTCTAAACACTGCAAAACACTGAGCCGTAATCAAGCCACAAGGCCAGAGATTGCCCTAACAGATTAACAGCAAGCAGATTCAGTATTTTGTGCAACTGCAGCCTGAGGGCTTCACTGACCTGGCCCAAGGCGTTGTGCAAAGCCAGACCTTGTGATGGGGATCATGGTGGAAAATTTTCAGCAAAACCGGAGTTGATTCCGGTCACCTTTGAGAGAAAAGTGACCGGATTGCTCCAAGCAGGGGCAGGTCAGTTTCTTCCTGCTCTTTCCTTGATCTGGTTTCTGGGGATTCCCCCTTTCAGTGGGGTAAATAAAGGTAGTCCTCGTCTTACAATTCTTTGTTTAGTGACCATTCAGCACTGAAAAAAAGTGACATGATTGTTTTTCACATTGATGGCCATTGCAGCATCCCTGTGGTCACGTGATCAAAATTCAGACGCTTGGCAACTGGCATGTACTTATGACGGTTGCAGTGATCTGGGGTCACGCGATCATCTTTTGTGACCTTCTGACAGGGAAGTGAATCCAGCTCACCCATTGGCTTTGCTTGTCAGAAGGTGGCAGAAAAGGATCACGTGACTCTGGGACCGCAGAAGTGTCACAAATACATAACAATAGCAATAGCCCTTAGACCAGTGGTTCTCAACCTTTTTAATGCCGCGACCCCCAACCGGTCGTAAGTTGAGGACTACCCAACTGGTCGTAAGTCGAGGACTTTCCCTGCCCAGGAGCGCCGCACATGCATGGTGCCGCCCCCTGCGCCGGCCGAGGCGTAGCTGGCAAGGGGCAGAGACGGTGCAGGCTGACCACCGACTGGGCCACCAGCTGGCCCAGCCCAAGGGAGGTAAGGCACCCGCTGGGCCCCACGCACGCCAGCAACCCTCCCTGCGCCCGCCGGCCTCCCACCTCCCACCCCTGGCCCTCTTTTACTTACATTTTTAGTAGTTGCTCAGCAGGGAGGGGTGGAAACTTCCAGACAGCTCGCCTTTGCTGCAGACAACTTGCAGCACCGTTTGCAGAATGGGACTTTTGGCGGGCTCAGCAGGGCAGAGACAGCCTGGACAATTCCTATTGGCTTTTGAAAGCCAATAGAATTAGACTCTATTCAAGAGAGTCTATTCTATTGGCTTTCAAAAGCCAATAGAATAAAAGGGAGTAGCACAGCTAAGGAAAAGGGGGAAAAAAAATGACGGACTGCGTTGTTTGGCGACCCCCGTGAAATGGTCGTTCGACCCCAAATGGGGTCCCGACCCACAGGTTGAGAACCACTGCCTTAGACTTATATACCGCTTCCCAGTGCTTTACAGCCCTCTCTAAGTGGTTTACATTTTACCAACCTCAGAAGAATGGAAGGCTGAGTCAACCTTGAGCCGGTCAGAATCAAACTCCTGGCAGTGGGCAAAGTCAGCCTGCAATACTGCATTTTAACCACTGCACCACCATAGGGAGGGAGGGAGGGAGGGAGGGAGGGAGGGAGGGAGGGAGGGAGGAAGGAAGGAAGGAAGGAAGGAAGGAAGGAAGGAAGGAAGGAAGGAAGGAAGGAAGGAATAGGGTCCTCATTTTACTGAACTCAGGATGGAAGGCTGAGTCAACCTTGAACCAGTCAGGATTGAACTCCTGGCTATGGGCGGAGTCAGCCTACACTACTGTATTTTGACTACTGCACCACCAGGGCTCTTATCTGGGTCTGTCTGTGAAGGCTGACATGGCAACAACCTGAGATAGCTTACCCAGAACTGGAACGCCGAAGGTTCATACGAGAGCTGACTGTTGTTTGGAAAACCCATTCTTTCTCATTCTTTTGTCCACTCAGGTTAACGTGGGTCGGTTGGCTCCTGTGCCCCATTCTGTTATCCCGAAGGCATTGCCAGCGTGTGGAGCCTGCGCCACACCCACACCCTGCCAAATCACGGCCTTTACCTGCGTGTTCCAGTGTTTCCCCTGCGACCCGTCGTGTAGGAGGACCTCCTGGGCCACCTCCGAGTTCACGCAACATTCGGTGGCGCCAATGGTGAAGATGACCCGGTCCAAGACATTCCAAGCGTACCTGCCTTCGTGCCATCGCACGTACAGCTGCATCCACTGCAGGGCTCACCTGGCCAACCACGACGAACTAATTTCAAAGGTAGGTCGTCCTCAAGCGGGGAGGACTGCTAGAGTGCCTGGGAAATTGAACAACCAAGACAGTTTTAATGGTTGGTTTCATGTGGAGGTAGCCTTACGACTACAAACCGAACCCTAAATTTATGTTGCTAAGAGAGATACGTCAAGTGAGTTTTGCCTCATTTTACAACCTTGTTGCCCCAGTTGTTAAGTGAATCACTGCAGTTGTTCAGCTAGTAACACGGTTGTTAAATGAATCTGGTTTCCCCATTGACTTTGCTGGTCGCAAAAAGGGATCACATGACCCCCCAAGGCACTGCAACCACCATAAATACGTGCTGGTTGCCAAGCGTCTGAATTTTGATCACGGGACCACGGGAATGCTGCAGTGGTTGTGTGAAAAACAGTCCTAAGTCACTTTTTTCAGTGTTGTTGCAACTTGAAACAGTCACTGAACAAACGATTGGAATTTGAGGACTCCCTGTATTTTTCCTCCAGAAAAAGTAATTTGATAATTGTAATTATAATTATCGGGAACCAACTTTGGGGAGACAATCTCTGCCAGGATGGAAACACAGCCTTATGTTGCTTTTCCAAAACCTCAGATTCGGTGGGTCTTCTTTCCCAAAAATTGACTACAAATAGTCCTCGACTTACAACAGTTCATTTAGTGACTGTTCCAAGTTACAACCGCACTGAAAAAAATAGCCATTTTCACACTTAAACGACCGCTGCAGCATTTCCATGGTCAGTTGATCTGTTCTATCCCAGCCTACGAGAGTCTTTGTTAAGCTCGCAAGGAGAAACCCCTCTTCCAACAAGCAAGCTGGAATCGCAGGGAAAAAAACAAAAAAACCCTTTTATTATTCACAGACCTGAATAAATGTCCAAGGCAAACAAAACTTGGGAAGGCCCCACTTGGAATACCGCATCCAGTTTTGATCACCACGATGTAAAAAAGAAGAAAAAGAAGAAGAAAAAGACTCTAGAAAGAGTACAGAGAAGAACAACAAAAGATGATTAGGGGACTGGAGGCTAAAGCATATCAGGAGCGGTTGATGGAATTGGGTATGTCTAGTTTAATGAAGAGAAAGACGAGGGGGGACAGGATAGCAGTATTCCAATATCTCAGTGGCTGCCATAAAGAAGAGGGAATCAAGCTATTCTCCAAAGCGCCTGAAGGCCAGACAAGAAGCAAGGGATGGAAACTCATCAAGGAGAGAAGCAACCTAGAACTAAGGAGAAACTTTCTGACAGAACAGTTAACCAGTGGAACAACCTGCTTCCAGAAGTGGTGAATGCTCCAACACTGGAAGTTTTTAAGAAGAGACTGGACAGCCATTTGTCTGAAATGGTATAGGGTTTCCTGCCTGAGGAGGAGGTTGGTCTAGATGACCTCCAAGGTCCCTTCCAACTTTTTTTATTATTATTATTACTATGGATCATCACACAGTCAGCCAGATGTTCAGACTGGATTTGGCATTTTGTCTACCTATCAAGTCCTTACCCAGGACCTGGGATAGGCAGATGTGGATGTTTGATGGTATTACAGATATCGTCGCAGGATGGAAGCAGTTCCTAGTAAGGCCACCTTTTGCAATTGACTAATAGCAAATTTGTCAATGCCGGTGATGGTGTTCAAGTGGTGCTCCAGTTGTTTTGGGATTGCACCCAAGGCGCCTATGACTATTGGTACTACCCTTGCTTGCTTTTGCCACAGTCTTTCTATTTCTATTTGCAGATCTTTGTATTTTGTTATCTTCTCCAGTTTTTTCTTGTCTATTCTGCTGTCTCCAGGCACTGCCACGTCCACTATCCAGACTTTTTTGTCTTTCTTATCGACAATGGTTAAGTCCGGGGTGTTGTTGTTGTTGTTGTTATAAAACACAGTTCACAGAAACTCGATCCTCAACACGAATGGCTGCCTTCAGCAACCAGTACCTCCCACACTTTCCCTTTTATAATTCAGCCAAGATGTGGCTTCCTTTTTTTTTTTTTACCATTTAACTTTTGTTTTAATGTTTCTCCACAAATGATGAAAAATACTAAGTACAGACAAGGAATCATCATAATGTTGTGGGCCAACATTATAAATATGGAATTATAAATTTAAAACATTTTCTGGTTTAAAAAATAAATCTGGTAGTAAATGCAGTCCAGCAGGAAAAAAAGGGGGGAGTCGCTGGCCGCTAATAGGGCCGGTCTCTGCGGTGCTGATGGTGCTCCCCCTTGTCCATCTTCCCTGGTCCTCCACGCCTGCTGCCTTGGCCTCCTGGCTGTTCCATAAGAGGTCCAGGGGGCCCCCCAGGGCCTCCTCGCCGGCCCCCTCCGAAGCCCCCACGACCCATGCCATGGCCTACTTGGAATCTACCTCTGTCTCCGCCACGGTCGCCATGAAACATCCCTCCGGGACCTCCTCTCATGCCGCTGGGGCCACCTCAAGGTGTGACTTCCTAATGCCTTTGCCTTTGGAGCCACCCCATTGCATTCCTCTATCCTACTTGCTTCTCTTGCTTGCGCATTCGTGCATCCGGGATTTGTCCCAGCTGTTCTTCATCACTGTCCAACTCAGGCTCTCAACACAGCTGTGTCTCAGCCTGAGCGCGAGTAGAGGGGCCAGGCTCCTCGTCCGACTGTAAGTCTTGGAGCTGCTCAGAGCCTTCCTCTGACTTTGATGTCACGCCAGGCCCCTCCTCCTCCTCCTCCTCTGAGTCCTCAAACTCAGCTGCCGGATTCACGGGCCAGTGAGGAATCACAACATGATCAAAATCCAGCCGCTTGGCAACTGACTCATATTGATGACGGCTGCCATGTCCTGAGGTCATGTGACCACCATTTGCGACCTTCTCACAAGTCGACGGGGAAGCCAGATTCGCTTAACAACCTTGTTACTCACTTAACAACTGCAGTCATTCACTTACCAGCTGTGGCAAGGAAGGTTGTGAATTGGGGCCAAAAAAAAAAAAAAGACTTAACAACCCATCTCACTTAGCAACAGAAACGTTAGGCTCAATTGTGTGGTCGTAAGTTGAGGACTACCTGTATTGCATAGTAGAGTTGTGCGGGTTTTGAGGGCGAGTGTGTGTTGACCAACTGTTTTGTCGGGGGGGGGGGGAATAGTTCTTTATCAGTAGGTTTTTATTTCAAGAAGGCTAAATGGGTTGCTTTGATGCTTTTATCCAGTTCCCTTAGATCCGTTCCGGGAAATAAAAGATTTGCAGACTTTCATAACTTTTTTTCATTTTTTTTGTTGGTTCATCGGGTGCCCTTGTTTCTGGCAGGTGCACGGGGGAACATTTGATTTATTTTCTGGCTTGATTTTTGCCTCTGTGGTCTCGAGTTCGATTAGCGAGAAGATTCCTTATTGTGGCTTTGTTGTCTGGCCAAAATAGGAATCTGGCCGAAAGCAAAGGAGCGGAATGCGGTTTTGTGGGTTCCATCTGGAGGAACATTGTATGCTTCAGGCTGTGATTGTGGATTGAAATTGTTGCACTTTTACCCCGGGAGAGCTGGACGATCAAAGTTTGGAAATGACTGGAATGTTTAGTTTATTTCTTTCAAGCATTTATAACAGTGGTTCTCAACCTTTTTAATGCTGCGACCCCCCCAACCGGTCGTAAGTCGAGGATTGCTCAACCGGTCATAAGTCGAGGACTACTCAACTGTTGCAGCACCGTTTGCAGAATGGGACTTTTGGCGGGCTCAGCAGGGCAGAGACAGCCTGGACAATTCCTATTGGCTTTTGAAAGCCAATAGAATTAGACTCTATTCAAGAGAGTCTATTCTATTGGCTTTCAAAAGCCCATAGAATAAAAGGGAGTAGCACAGCTAAGGAAAAGGGGGGGAAAAATGGCGGACTGCGTTGTTTGGCGACCCCCATGAAATGGTCGTTTGACCCCAAATGGGGTCCCGACCCACAGGTTGAGAACCACTGATTTATAAGGCTTGAATAACTGGGCCTACCAGAATTTTGGGTGGCCTCGGGTATACAGGTAAGTCCTCGATTTACAACAGTTCGTTTAGTGACCGTTTGAAGTTACAGCGGCACTGCAAAAAGTGACTTAGGACCGTTTTTCACACTTACAACCATTGTAGCATCCTGATGATCATGTGATCAAAAGTCAAACGCCTGGCCAATGACTCGTATTTATGACGGCTGCAGCGCCCCAGGATCGTGTGATCCCCTTTTGCGACCTTCTGACAAGCAGAGTCAACCGGGAAGCCAGTTAACAATTTGTGTTATTAACTTAACAACTGAAGTGCTTCACTTAACAACCGTGACAAGAAAAGGTCACAAAACGGGGCAAAATTCACTCAACAACTGCCGCGCCTAGCAACAGAACTTTTGGACTGGATTTTGGGCAAGAGAATGGAATAGAATAGAATCTTTATTGTGAATAGAATAGAATAGAATATATGGAATAGAATAGGAATGGAATGGAATGGAATAGAAATAAGGAATAGAATAGAAATAAGGAATGGAATAGAAATAAGGAATAGAATAGAAATAAGGAATAGAATAGAAATAAGGAACAGAATAGAATAGAAATAAGGAATGGAATAGAATAGAGTAGAATAGAATAGAATTAGAATTAGAATAGAATAGAATATTTAGAATAGAAGAGAAGAGAACAGAATAGAATAGAATCTTTATTTAGAATAGAATTAGAATAGAATAGAATATTTAGAATAGAATAAAACAGAACAGAATAGAATAGAATCTTTATTTAGAATAGAATAGAATTTAGAATAGAATAGAATAGAATAATGAGGTAGAGTAGAATAGAATAGAATAGAATAGAATAGAATAGAATAGAATAGGAGTAGAACAGAATACAACAGAACAGAGTACAGCAGAACAGACTAGTAGAACAGTATAGGAGTAGAACAGAACAGAACAGAATAGAATAGAACAGAATAGAGCAGAACAGAGCAAAACAGTATAGGAGTAGAACAGAACAGAATAGAATAGAATAGAACAGAATAGAATAGAGCAGAACAGAACAAAACAGAACAGGAGTA